TTAAAAAATATGGCTCTCTTAGACAAATTCAAAGCCTCTGTCAGCCCTTGCAAATCAGTTATAGTCGAGAGCTATGAAATATAAAAGGATGAGTGGGAATCACATACATCTTTAAAAGGGAACCCAAGTTTGCTGTGCAAACTTTTATGTAAAATATGGCAGTGTGTCACTGTTACCCTGAATTATATTTCCTGCAACTTCAGTACATTTCTGTGCCATATGAAGGAGTAACTATTACCAGTAACTCCAGTTTCCAGAAGACTTCCAGGACAGAACCTGAGAGAGTGAGACTCCAAACACCAGAACAGGAAATACTTTAAACAAGAAGTATTTAAAGGAGAATTATGGGGAGAGTGAAATACACTCATCCCCATAATTCGAGCCGTATGTGCGACACTGAAGTTTTCACATGTCGGCTCTAGAGTTCGAGAAAGAAAGCAATCACATACCGCTGATCGCTCATTTCCTGATCTCCTCCCTGAAGAGAGTGGTGATTAAGTCACTGCTCCCCACAGGGATTCTCCACTCCACTCTCCGTTCCTCCAGCGCTGACTGTCAATCAGGTAGCGGGGTGGATCCCGACAATATTGACAGGATCTTTCCCAGCTGTAGAATGGCTCTGCACTGTCAGCATATAGCGGGCAATAGAGTTTTGGGTCACAGAAGGACATAGTACATGTTCTCCTGTGGTCCTAAAGAAAACTAATGAGCTGAAAAAGGTTAGGCCATAGTTGAATCCCACAGGGCTGCTCAGTTTTCCAAGAGAACTGTAGGATAGTTTAAAAGACATACAAATATAAAACATAATGTAGGGCAGTAAGACCTGCTGTCCTGGGAGTCTCCTGGAAACTATGTTACTAGTAATATTAACTCTAGTTTTTCTCAGTCGACATCCAGGACAGCAACCGAGAGGAAAAACAAGAATAAAACCAGAAATCTTGAATGAAATGTCAGCAGACAAGTCCTCTTCCTGCACTGAGTCTACAGAATGGGAAGCAGCCCCAGGGTGTGCAGAAGCAGACAGTAGAAGGTCAGGAGGGGGACTCCGAAGGGGAAGGAGAGGGGGCCTGCTTGCATTCCCGTGACGATTACAAAAGATCAGGCATTTTGTTTTCTCATAAATGTCACCATTACTGCAGTAAACTTCTTTATAGACAGCAGGGAAGAGGAGGGTGCCCTGGAGGGTGCTGGAGAGGGCCCTGGAAGTAGGGAGTAATGGGGAGAATGAGCAGAGCATAGGGTTAAGAAAAATATTGACCGCATGGAGGCTGAAGGGTGCCTAGGGTCCCAGAACTGTAGACAGGAGTGGCGACCCAGTGTACCTGTTTGTAGGGGCCTGGACTCCCTACTAATATGCAGAGTCGCAGCCTGTGTCCACTACACACACACAAAAAAAATCAGATTGCACACCAACAATGTTCTTCTTTCTTTCATAAAAGTATCACACAAGCAATTAATTGAAACCTTTGCCACATTTCATGCACACAGGCACTTACGTCATAGCAGTGTGTTCCCAGTTTAGTGTGAGTCAGGAAAAGAAAATGAATGGGCAAAAGCACAGTAAAGAAACTCCAAAAGAGGTTGTGTTATGGCTTACCAATCCTCAGAGCGGTAGCTGACCCGACAAAGCAGAGGGGGTATGGTACAATCATAATGAAAATACCCCCCTCTTCCCATTAATACCAACACGTCCTAACACTAAGGGGTGCAGAGCCATTCACCCTGTAAAATTGCATGTACATTCCATATGTGCGAATGGAGGAAAATGTTATGTAGGGATGCTCCGATACCACTTTTTTAAGACCGAGTACGAGTACCGATACTTATTTTAAAGCACTCGCCACTACCAATTACCAATACTTTTTCTTAAAGGGAAAGGTCAAATTTTTTCTAAAGCAATACAAAATCATGATTTTAGGTCAGTTTCTTAATATTATGAAGAACATGAAATTAATATTTATCATGCCATTGCTAACTAAGGCTTGTATCCCCATAGTGGGGAAAATAGATGAGCACATGTTCAGACTCCAGACCAGAACACTGTATAGTGTGGCACAGGGAGCATCCCTAGTTATTGGCCAATTTTCTTTCCAGAACAAATGTAATTTCAGGTAAATACCACATTATGGCAACTAGAAAAAGAAAATATACGGACATAAATTTTTGCCCCCATTTGCATGTGCTCCAAGAAGATGGAGACTCTCATAGTTTAGAGTTAGGACCGCACTATATGGAGGTGCCTTGATGTGGCTGTGCGGCTTTCACATTTTCTGCAGAAGACGTGTATCTAAACCTCTGCTTTTAACCTTAGTGGTTAGACGGGTTTTTTGCATGCTAGCTTGCGAGTGTGCTGGGAAAACTTTTTGTTGTTTGTACTGTATTAGGCCCTTCCCTGTGCATCTTGCTGTAAAGCTGGTAACGAATTGATGTGTGTTTGCCATTTGTTTTGCTTGTTTACAAATACATCTGGATGACAGTTTATTTTACTGTAGGAGCAGGGGTGTAACTAGAAATCACAGGGCCTCATAGCAAAAAGAAAAAGTACCTACCTCTAGAACACGTTTCCGTGCCTGCGCCGTCTCAGTCTCCTTCTCTTCAGCTCTGCTCCTGCTGGCTCTGACATCAGAGCTCAAGAACACATCACTCCACCACTTACTGCTGCAAAGCCCACCAGAGACCCCAAACAGCCCACCAGAGAGTGACCCTGCAGACCCCACACATACCAGAGACCCAGCGCAGCCCACCTGAGAGTGACCCGGCAGAGCCCACCATAGACCCCACATGAGATCCTGCAGAGCCCACCCGAGACCCAACAGAGCCCACCTAAGACCCCGCACAGCCCACCTGAGAGTTAACCCACACAGCCCGCCAGAGAGTGACCCTGCAGAGCCCACCATAGACTTTCAATGGTGGGCTCTTTAGGGTCTCAGTTGGGCTGGTCGGGGTCCTGTTCCCTGCAGTCCTCTTACTCGTTAGCACCGAGCCACCCGCTGCTGGGCCTTGGCTTCCTTCACCTCTGCCACAAGGCCCCGGTCTATTTCTCCTGCACCGCCGGGCCCTGGACTCCTTGGCCACCGCCGCTGGGCCCTGGACATCTCCTCCACCAGCGCCTCTGCCCTGGGCCCCATAGCGATGGTGATAGTGCATGGGTCGCTATGGTGATAGTTACGCCACTGTGTAGGAGTATAAACATGTATACAAACATATACAAGCAGTCATTAAAAAACATGTTTGCAAAACGGCAAAAATTTCACGGTTAGTATAAAAGGTACACTAACAATATACAGGAACAGAATTGTTTTGTGTGCCTCACATTGTAATGTGAAAAAGAGTAAACAGCTCTCCTAATAAAAGGATATCCCTTTTATTAAATCTTTTAGTCAGGAGACTGCTGATCATATTCAGGAGGCAAAAAGCTAGGGCTGCGCAAATTAATAAAAAGTTGTGTATGGAAATGCATTTTTCCCTAATGTTTCCCTTTTTCTCCCCAATTTAATGTTAGAAAATAGAAAAAATAAAAAAAAGGTACGGTACTGAAACAAAACAAAAAAACTGTTGTTGGGTATAACTTTGGCCTTGCATTAAATTTTTTTTAAACTTTATTTAGGACACAAAATTTAAGGTTACAAACATTCGTGTACATCACCATTCCACAATAAAAAAAAAAAGGAAAACAAAGTTGCGTAGTACAGCAGCTGACCACAAAAATAGCCCAATTGTCTGGTAACAGTTTCCAAATAATCACATGTAGGACAGAAAGCCTGTAAGTGTTGGGAGTTAGGGGGCCACATAGTTAGTCAGGTTAAAAAAAATTCCTTTGAGTTCAACTAGGGTGCGCGCATCGAGAGGCTTGTAATATATGTTGGCACACTGAACTGTTATACCACAGAATCCAACAGGTGCTGGAACAACTGGTGGATGGCGCCACCGTACATAATCTACAAGGTATGTTGCCCGCACACCTTTGTGTTTCAGAATATCATCTTTATTCGTATTCCTTTAGCATGACGTGAATACACCGTTTCGGAGCCTCACAGAACCTATTCGTCAGGCAAAGTCTCTTGACACTGAAACGTTGTATTCACATGTCATGCTAAAGGAATACAAATAAAGATATCTTCTAGCGCGCATCGAGAGTGTAGCTCCAGCTGGACCCATTGTCTGGTGGTAGAGTGATGACATCAATCAACCAACTGGGCAAGGACAAGCAATTTGTAGTATTGACAAAGTCAGGTAGGTCAACACCTCTATTGCATTTGTGCAGAATAAGTAGATAGTAGTGTATTTTAGGGGTCTTGTGGTTCCAAGTAAATGTCAATAGCAGGAAGTGGAAATGGGTGAAATAAGATTGTGGGATGTAAATAGGTTATGCTTGGCTGGGGTATAATATTTGAGGCAAGGTGCTACTTCTCTTGAACCACCGTCACCTATATTTTTCATGCATAGTGCATGTGTACCTATTAATGTGTAAATGTGACATTTAGAAATTATTTATTACCTCTCCCAGAAATCACTACACCTGACAATGCCTTTATCTTTTTTTTAATCCAAAAGGACTGAGGTATTTCTGTTTAGGATTTATCAGTGTCAGCATCTACATTGCTTTTTACACCGAGATGGATAGCTCAGAAATTACACAGTCATGTAAATCCTGGTGACCATGCAGCTCTTGGCTGTGTTAACAAATGTCCGACACAGATCAGCCCCTGAAGCAACATCCTTCCTTCTGACTGGTTACAAAGTGGCAATTTTGCAGTTTGATAACTGAAGAGACTGAGGGAAAGCTTCTGCTTGCATGCAGTAGACTGATGACATCTTAGCTTAGGCAAAGTCACTGGATGGAATGTCAAGAATTGCATATTAATGATTAAAAGGTACAGCTTTTCTAAAACCTTTTACTGTTAAATATCAGAAACAGATTCAGGAAGATTTGGTATGTTACTGAAAGGGAATTGGTGTGGTTAAGAAGACATGCAGACTGCTTGTATGAAACCTTTTACCTTAAATCATCATCACTTCCAATCCGCTCGGGCCTCTTTAGCTTGGAATCCAGGTTGAAATAAGTGCCACCGACCTCACGCACACATATCCAGTGCTGTCTCTTAAGTGGGAGCTTTAAGGGTCCCCAGGACAGACTTGATGGGAGATTCATAATGAACCCAGTGACATTACAAAGAGAGATCAAGCCAACATCCCTGTTAAAAGAATAAGTTGGTTATGACATTAAGACAAAAATAGTCTAAAGCGAAAAACAGGATTTTTGTCTTACCTGTAAAATCAGTTTTTAGGAGTACATCACAGGACACAGAGTAAATCCCTAACCACTGGGTTATGCAGTTACCTTCAGGTTACAGAAAATGGCACATCAAAGCTGTAAGACAGCCATGTATACATGTATCCAACTTCCAGCCGCCCTCAGTTTGGTCGCAGGCAGTACAAAAAAGTGGATTACAGAAAAAACAAGGGAAGGGTCCTGTGATATAAAAATAGATCCATGTAAAAAAGGTTTTTACATGCAGGAAAAAAACCCCCACCTCTTTTCTTGATCTTACATCACAGGACAGAGGAAGCTTATCTTCAATGGATGGGATGTCCAAAAGCAGTCCAACAAAGGGGGACGTCAACCCAACAAACAATGGCTGACAGGCCCATGAAAACAACTCACCCCAAAAAGGAACCATAACAGAAAGGACCCACAATCAGAGAGTCATCTGGAGAACCTTATGTCCAAAACTAACATGCACAGAGACCTGAAGTATGAAGGTGGCAGCCTTGCAATTTTGGAAAACCAAAGCCTGATCCCAGAAGGCCCAATAAATATCCATGTTCCTGATAGTGTTGGCCTTTATTGGAAAGGGGGGAAAGTGTACTCTTCAAGTCACAGGCCTGAGTGATATCTCGCTGAATGCACCTAGCAATAGTGGAACAAGAAGCTGTCTGCCCCCTAACAGGGCCCTCAGGAATGACAAACAAGTTAGACTTACAGATAAAAGCTGTAGCAAAGAGGTAAACTCAAGGGGGGGAATTTATCAATACTGGAGCAGAAGCATATGGCAACTAATCAGCTTCTCTCTTCAGTTTGTTCGGTTGTTTGAAAATGAAAGGTGGATGCTGATTGGTTGCAATGCACAGCAGCTCCAGTTTTGATAAATTCCCCTCAATGTGCTCCATATCCAAACAGTGAAGATATATTTCTTTAGGATGCTTTGGTACAGGACAGAAGGATGGTAAAACAATGTCATGGTTAAGGTGGAAGGCAGACACCACCTTAAGGAAGAAAGTAGGCCTTTTCACACTTGTCTGTTTTCATGCAAGAAAACCTATGCATTTTGCTGTGTTAAGATGCAGTGCAAGTTGAAATCCCATTATTCCCTATGTAGCTGGTTCCCAACTATGTATGCGCATTACCACATAGGCTACATTCACAGGCTACAGTGAGAATCCAGCCTTAGGTTTCAGTTTTATCTTATCCTTGTAGATAACCAGAAAAGGCTCTTTAAAAGTCAGGGCCGCCAACTGAGGAAGTCTGTCTGCTAATTTTCCACGCCTGGGATGTGCATGGCGAATAGGGCTTGGACATGAAGTTTTGTCCAAGCACAACTTCTGGTGTCTCCATGATGGTTGATGTTAACCATAGCTGTGGCATTGTCTGAATGGATCCTGGTGGCCCAGTAACTGAAGAGTCCAGCAAGGGACAATTGAATGGCCCTGAGCTCCAGGATGTTGATCAGGAGACGAGATTCCTCTGTCAACCAGGTCCCTTGAATAGAGAGGTTTTTAAGGACTCCTCCACAGACAGACAGATTGGCATCCATTGTGAACACCTTCCAGATCCTCAGGAGGAAGGAATTTTTCTCAGTCCAAGGACAGGTTTGAGATTCACCATTATATGGCAAGCAAACAAATGGGCAGGTCCAAGGACTGAACCTGTTTGCCCCACGTAGGCAGAATGATAAGCTGCAACAGCCTGGATTGAAATTGGGCATAGGGAACTTCTCTAAAAAGGCTACCATCAAGCCCAGCACCCTCATGGAAAAGCACACCATTAGATGACTCCTGGACTGCAAGGTCTAAGCAAGAGATCAGAGAGATAGGATTTTTATTTCTGGGGGAAGGAAGAACCTGGGCAGGACTATGTCCAAAAATAATACACCGCGCTATCTCCCACCTTCACAGTCCTCCCCGTGTAAAACACAGCAAAGGATTATATGATCATAATCCAAGAAAATATAATTATGTGCCCAAAATTGTCAAAATAATCATGTATGAAACACAAGGGATTATATCATAATAATCCAAAAAATATAATTATAATTAAGTGCCCAAAATAGTCAACAAATATTGATTGGTTGTGACAAATACATGATATAGTGCCAAAGTTCATAAAACAGGGTTGCATGCATGAATTGGTTCCAGTTGAAAGATAATTCCCCGTGCTCCACCTTCGTGCAATCAATCTTTCTTAGCCACTCACCAGATCCTCCAGATTATACAAGCGATCCTTAAAACACCTCAACTCCTCTCCTTACTGGGTTTTAGAACGCCACCAAAATTCCACTCGTTAACAAGATCTTTCCATATTGTTAACACTTCATCCACCATAAAATGCTTAGATACAGGTGAAACTCGATTAGAATATCGTGCAAAGTTCATTTATTTCACTAATGCAACTTAAAAGGTGAAACTAATATATGAGATAGTTCAAGCCGTGGTTTGTCATAATTGTGATGATTATGGCTTACAGCTCATGAAAACCCCAAGAACCCCAAATCCACAACTTAAAAAAAGTAGATTATTACATGCAATAAATAAAACAAGGATTGTACATAGAACAATATCGGACCTCTGAAAAGTACAAGCATGCATATGTAGCAAGTACTTGGTTTGGGCCCCTTTTGCAGCACTTACTGCAATTGCTTTTGCACGATATTCTAATTATTCGAGTTTCACCTGTATGTTTATTGCGCAAAAATATATATATATATTAAAAAAAAAACAACTTACTTTAAAACTGATGTATATCAGCGCTGTACAAAAGGAACGGTTGGATGTCGATGTAAATACTTTAAACCCTCCTAACTTTCCATGATAAACATCACACCATCAGGTGTATCTCTCTGATCATTTGCAGATATGGCAACGTGCGCGCTCGTCCTCGACGCATTTCATCCAAACAACCTTTTCGAGCATGTTGGTCATATCTGCCTTTTAGACCCCCCTGCAGATATAATATCTAAAACCATCCCTAGATGTCAGTCTTACCTGCCCACTATATAACATATACTCCCGTATTTTGCAATAACAAATCCTCACTATATATTAATTATTCCCACATCAACAGAAATATTATAATCCAATCCACCTAATTAGACTATCTACCACAATCCTCTCCTTTTAAACTAACTATTAATAATAAAACAATTTAAGTCCAGTTCAATATTTAATCCTTTAGGTTTTAGTGTATCCAAAATTCATTTTGTTTTGGGAAATCATCCTTGTTTTATTGGCACCTCTCCAATGGCTGTAAATCCTATCTATCCCATTAAAAAAATCTTAACTGTGGGATCCTTTATTATGAACCTCCTTAAAGTGTCTCGACACACTATGATGGTCAAACCCATTTTTAATATTTTTTATATGTTTACTAAACCTGGTCATTCTACCTACATATTGGAAGCCACAAGGGCATCCTAATACATAAGATGCGTGCCAGGAAACAAACTCCTTTATTTCAATCCGCCTCCCGTTAAAATGCGAATTACAAAATGTCCTCCTTCTACCTTTCTCCTCTTTAGTCATCCCACACTATTTTTGCAAGGATAGAATCCAACACTCCCAAAGTAATTTTTGACCATGGGTGGTGGGTCTGCCACATTGTGCACTATTAAATCTTTAAGAGCCGGGGATCCTATAAATTACCTGGGGTTTAGTTGGAATTAACGGACCTATGAATATCCATTTTTAAGATGTTCCAATGTTTATTAATGTTTTCAAAATCTCTGTATTGAGCAGTGTAATCTGCAATGAAAGATAAAGGATAAATAAATGTTCTTCTGATCCTTCTTTTTAGTTTCCAAAATATTCTCCCTTTGCATCATCCCTACTTTATTTATTTTTTCCACAGGTAACTTTTTATTAAAGAGTCAAAAGTACAAGCATTTGGCAAGTTGAAACAAACAGGAAATTAAATTTATTTTATTTCCAGATGAGGGAGGGGGGGAATTCAGGGAACCGGAGAGGGCCTCTCCAAGTAACATAACCATGCAACCAAATAGTGGTCAAAACACGCAATGCCGCCCATCGTGAAGCAGACTGGTATCAATGCATGGTATACTTAAACCATAGTGATGCTAAAAAGTTTAAAGACCACTTTAGGCAATGGAGAAACTAGGTGCGGGACGGATAAAGATTTCCTGGGCAGGGTGGATTGCATACACAGTCAAAGGTACTTGGGAAACATATAAAAAGGGGAGGTTAGGGAGAAAGACAGAGAAGGAAGAGGGGAGGTCGATAAAGGCATAAGGTGAAGGTAAATACAAGAGGAAGAGACACGGGAGGGGCAGAAGAAAGGGAAGGAAAGAGCAGGAAAGGAGCAAGTATTAAGAAAAACGTAAATTCTCCCATCCACTTACCCAGGAGATAGGGCCAGAGTCAGATGAAAGGAAAATAGAGAAATGGAGGAAAAGAGAAGAGGAAAGAGAAGAAAAAAAAAAGAAGAAGGGGCTGTAGGGGAAGGAAAGGAACGAGCTGCGGGAGTATACCAGGAGAAGGAGATACATCACTCATCTAATGAGTGTAGTATATGTGTCAGAGTCCTTGAACAGGTACCATGCCGTCTCCAAATCTTCAGGAGACGAGACATATCCTCTTTGCTGGAGTGGATAAGCTCTTCCATTTCCGCCACCGTATCCACTCGCGCGAGCCACTCTTGAATAGTGGGCAGTCGGGGTGATTTCCAGTGTCTAGGAATCAGTTTTTGCTGCGTTCAGCAAGTGCGTCAAGGAGGTTTTGGCGACATGGCGGGAATCTTCGAAATGATATAATAACGAGGCTGCGGAAAATTCAAGTGAGACACCAGTGATGGATTGACTTGCCGTTGTTGCATAGAAAAGTTTGAAATAGCACATCAACTGAAGAGAAGAAGGCTTTGGGAAGAGCTATAGGAACAGTTTGGAACAGATGCAGAAGGCGAGGA